TATGTTAATGATCTTTCGAATTACGTTAGTACAAGACACTTAATTCTATATGCTGATGATACCACTTTGGCAACAGAAGCTGAATCTCTGAAAGATCTTATTCCGAAAATGAATATTCTCTCCAGAGAATTTACCACATGGTGCGGTAGAAATTCGCTGATTGAAAATGCTGCTAAAACAACTTGTATGTATTTTGGCACTGGGTCTGTAATTCCTGATTGTAGTAAGATCCTAGTTAATAATGTTGACATTTATTTTTCAAAAGTTACAAAATTCTTAGGTTTGTTTGTGGACAGCAATATAAGTTGGAATACAAACATAAATCATGTTTGCAAAAAATTAAATAGCTATTATGCTATATTAAAACTGAAGAATATCTTTACTACAGGTCAATTAATTAATGTTTACTATGCCATTGTTTACCCTCACATTTCTTATAATATTATTTTGTGGGGTAGTGTAGGGGCTGCTTCCAAAGTTTTCATTTCTCAAAAAATAATTATACGGCTAATTTTTAATTTAAAATACAGAGAAACCTGTAGAGAACATTTTAAAAAACATGGCATTCTTACATTATATTCTATTTATATATACAAGTGCATTCTCTATGTAAAAAATAACTATCAGAATTTTTGCAGAAATTCCGATTATCATGATCATTTTACTAGATCCTCAAATTCTATTAGGCCACCTAAACATGCAACTAATCTTTTTGAAAGAAGCCCAGTCTATATGGGGATTAAACTTTTGAATCGGCTGCCCGAGTGTGTGAGACTGGAGAATAATCCAAATGTTTTTAAACGAAAACTTAGACAATTTTTATCAAATGAATGTTTTTATAATGCTGCAGAATTTTTAAATGGGAAATTTTAAATTTTATTGTGCATGTATCTGTATGTCTTATCAATTGTTAATGTCATTGACGTGTATACATCATATATACTTTTATATACTTTCCTATTTCTTATATTGACTTGTCCTATATCTTTTGCTTGTAAGATCTGAAGGGATGAATAAATATATTATTATTATTATTATTAATGGAGTTGTACAAGGTGTAAAAGTATTATTAATAATATACGTTTACGATGGACTTGTGTTATCAAATAGTAAAGAAGCTATTGATTCAGTTTTACAAAAAAATGAAAAGCATGTTTAATATGAAAATTAATAAACCGGAATATTTTGTTGGACTAGAAATTATTATAAATAGTGATTATATTTTCATTAGTCAATCGAATTACATAAGGCAACTAATAAATCATTTCGGATTGAAAGACGCCAAACCAACATGTTCCAGAAGATAAAAGTTGTAACTTATCAATGGACACAGAACCATTCCTTGAAGAAGGTCAAGTGCCGTACAGACAAGCTATTGGATCACTAATATTTCTTGCTATTGTTAGTAGACCAGATATAGCTCATGCAGTGAGAGTTGCAAGTCGCTTCACAAATAATCATACATTAGCACATTGGAACTCTGTTAAGAAAATTTTTAAATATTTGCTCCTCACATCAGATTATGGTATTACCTATCATAAACATGGAAAATCATTAGACCTGATTGGATTCACTGATGCAGATTATGCAGGAGATGTTGAAACAAGAAAATCCACAAGTGGCTACATATTCAAGATGTGTGAAGGCGCAGTGACATGGAGCAGTAGAAAACAACAAAGTGTGGCACTATCAACAACTGAGTCTGAATATATAGCAGCATCTGAAGCAACAAAAGAAGCTATGTGGCTAAAACAACTGTTGACAGACATTGGAGAGCAGGTTTCTAAACCTATTCAAATATTTATTGATAATCAAAGTGCCATAAGACTTATCAAAAATCCTGAATTTCATAATCGCACCAAACATATTGACGTCAGGTTCCATTATATTCGTGAAAAATTTGAAAATGGGGATATACGACCAGAATACATTGAAAGTTCAAACCAAGAAGCCCACATTTTCACCAAAGCTTTACCCAGAGTCAGATTCGAAAAGTTACAAAAATTAATTGGTGTAGATTTAGGTTGTACTAGCTGTTAAATTTTAACTATTTCATTTTATTTGTTCAAATGTACATTATTGTAAAACTAGAAAAAGTGGGAGTGTTAAGTAGTTTGTTTTATAGTTTTAACAATACTACTAGATGGCGTTGCAGCCACTATAATATTATAAGATTTTCTGTTAGTTCTGTTTTTGGATAATCAATGGTTATTTTGTATGGTCGTGTTCAGTCATCTAAAAATATGACAGTAGACAGTTTCGTATCAAAGTGAAGTTGTTGTTCAAAGTTTTATAAAGAAATAAAACATTTTGTATACTCCACAAGTTTTAATTCAACATTGTTAACATTTTATTTATATAAATCCCACTGGTTAACAGGTAAAAACATTTAAATTTTCACTGAATATACCTGTGTCTATATCCGCTCAAAAGAAAGTCTGCCCTAAAAAGAGTTACAAGAATATTGTTATGAAAAGTTGCCCTGACTAGGCAAAACTGTTCATTCATACAAGTGTCTATTTATAGGACATGTTCGTTAAGGAAGATTTCATTGTACAGGGTGTCCCACTAAGGTCGGCGAGGTACGATAGTACGAAAAGTATAGGCCATAGGGCTTCGGGAAAGATATTTTGATTAATAAATTGACTGAAAAGCGCTGAAAATAGTTTTCAAGTTCGTAACTCGGCCGCACAATTTACATACCAAAACATAAGGTGCGTTTTGTTGGATCAATCCCGGGTTTATTGGATTCTTTAGAATGACATTTTTCAATAAAACGATTCGAATCAAATCTGACATTAGACAGATGCCGAATCTCAACGGGCCAATGCTACACCAGGTACCTAAGTAACCTCACAAACTTGATCTCCCCACCACTTAATTCTAATAATTCCGTCTCAAACCACAGAAGCAAAAGTTGCAACCGGATTCAGAATATCCTTGCAATAAAACGCCCATTCTGCATAATTCAATTCCGGAATAATTCCAACAAAATGCACCTATAGAGTTGAATTCTTCTTAGAAATGTTTCTTATTCAGGTATATTAAATAATATAAATATTGATAACCGGGTTCATTGTGCATAACTTTTGTTACTGACATTTTGTTCTATCTCTCGACAGAAAGGGTGGAGGAAGCCCCTAATGTTTCATCAGAAAAATGCATTTTTTTAAAGATTGACTCATCAAGAGCCTATAGTGTTATATCTCGTTGGAAAGGTCTTTTCATGCTTAATCTCGTGGTGAATGCATAAATCATTTACCTCAATATGGAACCCTACAGATGGTGTTATTTCAAAAGTTTGTTGTTTTATGGATTTTTCTCAAAAATTTTAAATGAAATGAAGTTTTCTTTACATAAATGAATTCAACACAAAAAATTGTTGAATATAGTATAAGTTTGAAATTTATAACAAAAGAGTTGTTTATTTATTGGCGCTATTTATCCAAGTTTAGGTTTTTTCACATTTTCTCAAAAAACTGAAATAGCAGCATAAAACTTTTTATAGTTAGGGTTAGTTTGAAGAGCATAAAAATAGCTACATTCTGACGCCAAAAAAAGTTCGATATCTTTTTTTGTTATCAAGTTCTTCGTAAATTAGTGAGCAAAAAGTAAATAATGATAATGAATTGAGAAACACGACGCTAAGGAAAAGACATTTAATTACCAAAACAAAATGCGTTTATAAAAGAACCTACCTAAACCCACACAAATGAGTCAATATAATAACAATTTTGAAAATAATAACAAAAACCAATAACAACCAGATTTTGATATTATGTAACGAAAGAACAATTAAATTTTAACAAAAATAAAGATGTTTATAAATGCTTGAAATGCATACCATTATTTTCAATGCAGGAATTTAAACTTCGCTGCATGCTTAGGGAGGTTCTTTTATAAATGCATTTTGTTTTGGTAATTAAATGTCTTTTTGTTAGCGTCATGTTCCTCAATTCATTATCATTATTTATTTTCTGTTCACTGATTAGCGACAACAAAAAAACATTCTAAACTTGATTAAATAGTGCCAATAAATAAACAACACTTCCGTTAGAAATTTCAAACATACTATATTCACCAATTTTTTGTGCTGAATTCATTTATATATTTAAATTATAGCATGGCATTTAAAATTTTTGAGAAAAATCCATAAAACGGCAATCTTTTGAAATAATGCCATCTATAGGGTTCCTTATCGAGGTAAATGACATTACGCATTCACCACGAGATATAACACTATGGGCTTTTGATGAGCCAATACTTAAAAAAATGCATTTTCCTGATCAGACATTAGGGGGCTTCCCCCACCTTTTCTGTCGAGAGATAGAACAAAATGTCAATAACAAAAGTTATGTGCAATGAATTCAGCTTTCCATATTTGTACTATTTAATATACCTAAATAGGAAACATTTCTGAGAAAAATTCAACTCAATGTTTTGGTATGTAGATTGAGCCCCTTAAAGGACAAGCTAGCAACTTGAATTTTGTCTTGGTTGATTTATTAATTAAAATTTTTTTCCCGAAGTTCTAGGGCCTATACTTTCACTAATATTGTACCTCTCCGACCTTTGTGGGGCACCTTGTACAGATTTTGATAATTTTGCATTAAACTATTATTAGCTCCCATCAATATTGTCAATTATTGTTTTAAAAAACTTATCCACAACATAATCAAGTGGCAACAATTATCCAAATAAAATTTATTGAAACAATCCATTTTAAATCCCGGATTATTAATTTTATTCGTAGATAGAAAAACTGGTCCTGAATATATTACAAAAGATGATAATAATTTCCAATATTTTTTGTGAGAGAATATTGCGATACCACTTAGAGTGCTAAATTTAATTTAAATTGGGCAAAGCTAAACAAAACAATTCAGAATTGGGTAAGTTTAGTTAAATTGTCTTCTGTCTATGTACACTGAACATTGCGCACCCTTTATATTTCAATACAACATTTAAAATCCATTAAAAAGTATTTGTCTTAACTTTACCTTTTTCATATCATTTTCTCGGCCTTCACTCATATTAGCTGTAGATAATAAGTCTCTTAAAAGAGCTAGTAAATTATTTACTACTGGAGTAGGAGACAAATCTCTGAGGGGTGTTTCTACTTTAATAAGAGCATTGTTGACCTCCTGTTGTAATGTTGTAAAAAATACTTGCTCACATAGGTTTTGAAGGTCGAGCAATGTTTTCTCTAATGATCCTTTTGATACAATCTAAAAAGTAAACAAATAATAAAGGTAATAAATAATCTAATATACTGTGCATCATGTGAGCTGCACTTATTATTACTTAGTCATCTATTGGAAATATAAAAATATGACTTGAAATAGGTATCATTTTTAATATACAGGGTGTCCCAGAATAAGTGGGCAGTGTCTCAGATTTATACAAGATGATGGACAACAGAAGGATTCAACAATCTTCAATTCGCAGAGCTAGGGAATGCTTAACATTAGAAGGAGCTCATGTTGAACGGACATACAAAATTATGTACCTAATAAAAATCATATTCAACAAAAATTATTTTTGTCTCAAAAAAGTTCATTTTATCAATATCAACCAAGTGTGCTATCTAAAAATATTATTTTTGCGCCTTTACCGTAAAGGGTGTAAAAAAAATTGACATTATTGTGCTACAGCTAGTCCTGGCAAACCAAATAAATTTTTATAAATTTTTAAGGAGTCTTATCTGTTGGTTGTCCATCGTATTAAAAAATAATTAAATTACAATAAGTATTTTAAAAGTTATTAAATAAAAATCAATTTTCAGGAGCATCCTTTAGGGGCCTGTATCTCCGTGGGGGGGGGGGGAATTTTTATAGGAATTTGTCATATTTCCCACATATTCTGGGATATATAATATAAATATACAAGAAAATTTGTAGAGATCCTTTTGAAGAGCGACATCACCACATATATTGTCTCCCATCAGACTTAATGTCACTTTAACTCTGCAATGTCATGGATTTTGATTGGTTGTATCCCTTTGAGGTAGGTTAAAGTGGGCTTGCTCCTCCATACCTCTATTACTGGATCCAACAACAGTTGTACCAATATCCCCGTACTTCTTAAATGGTTCTGGAAGAATAATGGCTTGCTCGCTGGCAAATAGGCATTGGACATCTCCCTCTTCACGCCAACGTCAACAAACTCTCGTGTAAGATTATACCATGCTTATCGCTCTTTCTTCATTGATGACATTGGCACTGCAAGTATGTTACTCTTGTGTCTATTGCGTCTTTTTCTCTTTGCCTGAACACTAAATGTTTGTAAGGCCTCCTGAAAATATTAAGGCTTGCATCTTATAGACAAGAAACACACTTTTAGTAAGACAATGATAGAAATGGATCCATCCACGAAGTGACAAACCGTAACGCTACAGCAACTTCGTTTAATTTTCTGCACTGAAAGATCATGGAGAACATGTAAACATCAGAAAATGTACCTTTGCTGTTTAAAAACTATTAATTATATGTTCTGCACAGTAAGCTATATACCACTATCTATTATGTATGCAATTAAAGCTCACTCTGTACAAGGTGTAACTGAAATAAGTATTCAAAATTTCTGAGTTTGTAAAACAAGTCGAAAAATGACGAAAACTTTAGTACAATTTTTGCCAGTGGCGGCTCCTAAGGGAGCTACGCTCTCCTAAAGGGGTAACCTCGGAAACAGTTTTTAATGCGTAACATCCAAACGGCTCGACATTAAGTCACGAAATTTTGGTGAGATATTAACCTTGACGTGCTTAATAAGTCTCATAAAATACATTTCAAAATTTGCTACAGGGGCGTGAGAAAATGCAGGACCCAGGGACAAATTTAATCATATCTTTTTTGTAGTCAATTTTTTCTAGTTCCTGACTCGAAAATATTGAAATTTGAAGTATTTAACATAAAAAAGGTCCTCTTGTTAAATTTCACTAGGATGTGCCGTTTTCCAGTAAAATCGATTTCAATCATTCCCAACGTGCTCCAAATTCAACTTTCATTACATAGCAAAATAAATTAATTGCAGTGTGCCATGGGGAAAACAACTAGTCTGACAGTTAACAGAAATGTCAAATATTTTTAACACTCTTAATAGTAACAAATAAAAATATGGTGATATAAATAAAAGCTAAAAAATAGATACATATGAGATTATTTATTAAACTATTGTAAGCGGCTGAAACTTTTACGTAACATTTTAACAGATTTAAACCATTTAGTTTAGTTTAACAAATTAACCAAATATCTTAATTTCTTTAGCAGAAAATGTGCCCTAGTCAAGAAGACAGACTAGATTCAACTTTCAAAATGTCCGCCGTTTGCCCTAATGCACGCACGTAACCTGTTTTCCAAAGAAAATAGGTTCCGGTATAGTTTGTGCTCCACATTGAGTTCATTAAATGCATTTTCTATACGCTGACGCAACTGTTCCTCATTGTCAACAGCTTGGAAATACACTTTTTGTTTCATTTGACCCCACACGTTAAAATCCATTGGGTTGAGGTCTGGTGACCGTGGAGGCCAATTTATGGCAGCATCATTTCCTCGGCCAATCCAGCGATTTGGGAAGTGCTCGTTTAACCACTGTCGACATTGACGGTTGAAGTGAGGAGGGGCGCCGTCATGCATGTACCATAAGGAACCTCGTCTTACCAAAGGAATATCCTCTAAAAATTCATACAATCTAGTAGACAAAAATTGATGGTACATTGCTCCGGTTAAATTTCCAGGCATGATGTGATATCCAAATAGATTATTTCCTAATGTGGCAGCCCAAACATTTATTTTAAATGAATGCTGATAATGGGTTACCTTCCGAGCATTAGGATTTTCTTCGGCCCACATATGTTCATTGCGCATATTAAAAACACCGCTTCTGGTAAAGGTAGCTTCATCGGTAAAAATAATATTCGATAGAAACATCGGATCTTCGGCTTGCCTGTCTAAAACCAACTGACAAAACTGTCTGCGCATGGGCCTGTCCTGTGGTAAAATGTCTTGGGCCTGTCTATAATGATAGGGATACAATTGTTGTTCTCTCATTATCCTCCATACTGTCATATGAGACATGTTATTTTGAACTGATAGTCGTCTTGTACTAAGTGTGGCGTTAGCTTCAACTAAATTTAAAATATTTTCCTCATTCAGGACATTTCTAATTATTCTACGCCTGCCTCTCTCAAAATTGTTCCTTTTTAACGTACCCCGTTCTCGCAAACGCCTTTCTGTGCAAAGAAATGTTTTGTAATTGGGCACATTTCTGTTGGGGAACTTTTCACCGTATCGTTGTGCGGCTGCTCTTGCGCTTCCATGACATTCACCTAACGTCAAAAGCATATCTACATACTCAGAAAATGTATACTGTTGCATTTTTAAATTATTTGATATTTTTATTTACTATAAAACGGCACTGCGAATACTCAAATGACACAAATTTGAAACTAAAAATACTTGACATTTCTGTTAACTGTCAGACTAGTTGTTTTCCCCATGGCACACTGCAATTAATTTATTTTGCTATGTAATGAAAGTTGAATTTGGAGCACGTTGGGAATGATTGAAATCGATTTTACTGGAAAACGGCACATCCTAGTGAAATTTAACAAGAGGACCTTTTTTATGTTAAATACTTCAAATTTCAATATTTTCGAGTCAGGAACTAGAAAAAATTGACTACAAAAAAGATATGATTAAATTTGTCCCTGGGTCCTGCATTTTCTCACGCCCCTGTAGCAAATTTTGAAATGTATTTTATGAGACTTATTAAGCACGTCAAGGTTAATATCTCACCAAAATTTCATGACTTAATGTCGAGCCGTTTGGATGTTACACATTAAAAACTGTTTCCGAGGTTACCCCTTTAGGAGAGCGTAGCACCCTTAGGAGCCGCCCCTAACAGAAATTGTACTAAAGTTTTCGTCATTTTTCGACTTGTTTTACAAGCTTAGAAATTTTGAATACTTATTTCTGTTACACCTTGTATAAGGTAGATAGGTCATTGCCAGATATCTCTTTTTCCTTGTTCTCAGGTATCCTTTTGATGGTTCGTTTAATATTTCTATTCGCGTATATCTAGTCTCACATTCAAGTATTCTGACTCACAGATGGCCCATTCTTGATGTACTAACATGTTGACAATACCTTACTTCTAGGGTGCTGATGATGAAACTCAGTATTAATATCTATCCATTTAAATTGTCTTTCAGTAAATACTGTGCCTTAAGGTGTCATTTAGAGCAGCAGGCAGCTGGATACCATTTTTTTTGTCTCTATGATGAAGCTGATGTCTAAATGTATCTTTCTCAGGAAGAGCTGCATGAACGATCTACTCGAAGACACTGGTGTATAAAGCATCCCGTATACAGGGTGATTGTTTTATCATGGGACGGTTGTCATGTAAGCAGCTAAAGCAAAGTGAGCCAAAGTATTTTGTTTGGGCTGGCTGATTCTTGAAAAGGTAGATAATAAAACCATAATCAAACTATACTGGGCATCGTAACACTCCATTTTTTATTTCAAAATAATAAATTTGTATTCTAGTGATCATGTTTCTACAGAGCCATAATATCAAATACAACCTCTTCAGAATTGCGACATAATTACCAATGCACGTCCAGTATATTTAAATTTCAACAGAGACAAAAAATTATGACGGCACCCAAAGGAAGTAACTTTAACGCCAAATCATTAACTAAGTATCAAAACTTAGCATAGTTTATACATACCTTACAAATGCATTTCTTATAGTATCTCAATAAATTTACTACCGAATGTAAAACTGTAGCTGGAGTTGGTACATTTAATACTTTCTCGATTCTTATTTTAAGTGGGTGACAAATTCCATCACATATTCTAATCAGTGCATCCTGTATAAAACTATTACCTGAAAACAATATTTACAAGTCATCTTTGTTTCAATTTAATAGAGAAAAAAAAAAGACAGACAATATGGTAACATTCTTGTAACAAAAACTGTTTGTAAACTAATGCATACATTTAGACAAATGGTTTTCTACAGACTTAACTTTAACTTTCAGATTTTCAAATATGAAAATGATTTTGTTTATTTTACTATTACCTATTTATTACATCGTACCATAAATTAATGTTAATCCTCTCTACATTTTAAATTATCTCATTTGAATTACGAATTTATTTCAGATACAGGACGTCACCTAACGAATGTTACATATTTCAAGGGTATAATCTAAAACCCAAATAGTGTCCATTTAACCAACCTTGCCGAAACGAAAAATGTCGCGAAAAAAGTTACAGGGTGTTGAAGTTTCTTTTTTTTATTTCTTGTTTTCTCCTTAACTCTGAATCCAGTTAACCAATTCGCCACGGTAGCGCAGTCGGTCGAGAGTGCGGTGGCAGGCATTTCTCGGCTAGGCTTCCTACTCTGGTCCGGGTTCGATCCCCGGTGTCGGCACTGGCAATGTCGATGGATAATGGGTGTTTGTCCGCGTTTTTTCAAGTGTAGCCCCCTTCCGCACAAGCCTTTGGCTTTTGGATTTGGGGGATGTCTCATTTCTGTGGTGTGTTTTATGTTTTATGTTTTTTTAATTCGAGCAAAATTTGCTGTTGCTTAGTTTCTCTTCATGAAGTATGCAATGATTATATTCCTATTCGGTTAAGTCATACAGTGTGTGCATTTTTACCACAACCTTTTGTAAATATTCTACTGTAACATTTTTGTATGTTTAAATTTTTACACTATCAGAAATAGGTAGAGAATTTTATTCTACACAAAAAATATTTAGCTATCAAAAGTCGAAATTATGCTCGGTTATGAAAATATTGAACATTTGAGATGAACATTTTTTGAACAATTTCTCCAGTTACATAACAAGGATCACACTTTTCTCAGGAGAATTAATTTACAGATGAAACTGGTTTTACCCGTAGAGGTGGCAAAAACTATCACATATGAAGCGAGGAAAATCCTCATGCCGTAAAAGAGCATCATTTTGGGACCTATCGCTCTACCTACAAGGTTGAAGGGCCAAAATTATTTAGAATTCCATCAGATGACAAATGTGGTTCATGTACGATGGTGGCCCTGCTCATTGCAGCCATTTAGTGAAAGATCATTTAAATCGAACATTTCCAAACTGTTGGATTGGTCGGGGTAATGACTTTACATCACCTTCTCGTTGTCAGGATTTTAATCTGTTAGACTTTTACTTTTGGGGCCATAATTTCGACTTTTGATAGGTATACATTTCTTGTGTAGAATAAAAGTCTCTATCTATTTCTGATAGTTGCGTGTAAAAATTTAAACATACACATTCACAAAGGGTTGCAGTAAAATGAACGCCCTGTATGATTTAACCTAATAGGAATCACAGCATACTTCATGAAGAGAAACTAAAAAAATTTAATCTGAATCATAAGGTCCTCTCTGATGTAAATTGACATGTTAGGTATTATAGTGTTTTTCAGCAAAAGTTAAAATAATTATTAAATTTGAATCCAAGTGGTTAAACCATTTTGGCTAAATTTTCAGCACAGCATAGTCTATTTTTGACAGCTTCAAGCTAATCGATAGAGGTTTTGTTTGTGACAAAAATACTAGTAGCCATCATAGAAAAGACAGTCTGTAGATATATGCTTATAGGTTTCTAAGTGTTTTGCTTATAAAACCTAAACCAACGAAGCGAATGCTACATGTTGACAATAATTAAAATTATATACCTATACAGGGCGAGTCAGAAAGAATGGGTCACTAAGCTGGAGATACTAGACACCAAAATATTATGTTTGAGCTTATCATGCCTTATACTAATGTCGCTGGTTTACGAGCTGGGTGTTCAAGGTTTAAATTTTATTCTGAAATTTCTCAATTGAGAAAGTTTTGATAGCATGACTCTGAAATTTGGTAGTGTTGGGTTTTTTGGTATGAGAATTACGAATTTGAAGCTTATTTTGACGTTGCTCCTAGAGATCATTTGTTTCACCGTATTATTTAGGTAAATGAAAACATATTTTTTTTTATCTGTTGAGCTATGATTTAAAAAAGTTAAAAATCTAAAAGAACGTTCAATTCTAAATAAAAAATGTACCCTTGTTTAGGTCACCTAACTTTATCGGTGTCCGAGTTATTTGCATTTAAAAGTTTCAATGTATTTTGTGATTTTCTTTCAGGCGTTGATTTTGCTATTTCTTTTCTAAGTAGGCTTGTGTCAGATTTTCATGTCAATAAATATTAGCGTATTTTGCATGCGTGTGATTTATTATTCGTGCAAAATTATAGGCTAGTGATCAAAAAATACCACGACACAATAATTTTGCAAACAGTGAGATGCGTGATATGATTTGTGTTTTTGCCCAGGCTAATTTTAATGGACATGCGGCGGCCCGAAGATATGAATACATGTACCCAAATAGATTGCAACCTTATTATTGTGCAAAACCGTACTTATCTTATCAACTTCGACGTCACCTGTTACATAGGTGTTGTATAACAATAAAAAAGTAATATTAACGGTCGATAGAAGGAAGCACAAAAAACAGGCACTTAGGTAGGAAATTCTGAAAGGAAGCCTAGTCAGTCGAAGATAGGCAGTTGAAGTGAGAACAGTGTGGAGATCGGCAGTAAGACGATCGGCAGTAAGACGATCGGCGGGCAGTGTGACAAAGTAGTGTAAAATTAAGTGTTTAAAGTGTTATTAGTTAGCAGGTAATATTCTTTAAGTACTTTGTTGTTAATTGTTCTATGTAACCTTATGATTGTGATGATTATAGATGTTTCATGATAATAATTCTTTGTATGTTTAGCTTCCATTGCTTTATGCTCAAGGGCATATATTTTTCTAAGGTAAAATTGTTATAATTATACTTAAAGTTTGCCCATTATTTATTTCATGTTAAAAATATATGTATTGTCCTGATTGCCAGACATTACAATAACGACTTCTTTGTTTCACATCTAACTTGTTTTTGCCACGATTACGTTATACGTAAAATATAGATGTTTCATGATAATAATTCTGTATATGTTTAGCCTTCATTGTCTTACGCTCAGGGGCGTATATTTTTCTAAGATAAAATTGTTACAATTATTATTATAGATTGCTCATTATTTATTACATGTTAAAATATGTATATTGTCGTGACTGCCCAGATATTGCATTAACGACCTCTTTGTTTCACATTTAACTTGTTTTATCATGATTAAGTTGTTCTTTGATTTCTTGTGCTCACTTTATGTCATACGTCTATACGAGCCTTGTTGAGTTTACTAACATTTTCGCCCGTGCGGAACGAATCTGGATTAAGCTCGATTGCCTCCCGTATGGGACTCCAGTGTTATGAAGGATCTTCCGAAATCTCAACTATAGCTGGATTGCCTCCCGTATGGGACTCCAGTACCTTCCGGCTCTGCCGGCTAACTAACACCAAACCTCTTCAGTTTTACTTGGAAGTGTGTATGTCAGACTTGAGTGAGATGACATTTAGTGAGAAATTAAATAAGTCCAGTTTTAATTATCATTAGCAAAGGTTCTTAATGTATGCCTTTGGTTAGCGGTTGTTTTGTATTTATATTTGGGTGGTAAGAGCAACGATCGTGGGTTTCTCTGCCATGCTCTTTCCCCGCAGGAGCTCTAGGTGAGCCTGGCACTCTCCTTTTATGTTTAATGGTTGTTAATGTTTTTGTTGTTCTTTCTATTTGTCACATGTTTAATTTGAATTGTATGTAAATAAAGGTTAGGTGTATTTACTCTGCTTTTGTTTTATATAATTAAACCATACATCCCCTCTACAAAGTTAGTAGCCAGTGCCTTCCGGTCAATTAAAAAATAGAAACATACAACGTAGGGAGTCCTTATGACGATCACATATTGTTGGCCAAAACTACGTTTACTTATTTTTTGTCGAACCTAGGGTTGTTATACTACATTATAAACTATTCAGAAATATTTACAACCACTTAGGCAAATCTGGATCTTTTCGACCAAAAAATTAACCATGGTTCTCCAAAATCTATCACAGTCGATGAAGAAGAGGAAATTTTAATTTGTGTTTCGAAAAATTCCGGTATAAGTACTCGTCGGTTAAGTGCGGCAACGCGGCAAGGCAATCGTCCATTTATATATAGAATTTGGAAAAAAGAAATGCTCCATCCATATCATTATACTCCGGTTCATAATGCTCCATCCATATCATTATACTCCGATTCAGCAGTTATTGCCTCAAGATTTACCAGCTTGCCTACAATTTGCTCAGTTTGTACAAAATATGCAAATGGAAAACCCAGATTTCCTCAATAAGATTCTATTTACCAATGAGACGACATTTACTAGATGGAGAGTTTTCAATTGGAAGAACAATCATTTGTGGGATTCCGAAAATATGCATGTTGTAAAAGAAAGACATTTCTAGCATGACTTTAAGGTGAATATTTGGTGTGGTTTAATTTTTGGTTTCTTCGTAGGACCTTTTGAATTATCCTGGCAGTAGTTCAGATGCCGAAAGGATTTTTATTATTCAAAAGCGCGTGTTACGGATAATCCTAAAAATGAAGAGTAGAGAATCGTGCAGGGGAAAATTCAAGGAAAATAAAATGTTAACTTAATTTTTTAAAAAACAGGTATTTGTTCACAGAAATGTCTTCACAACATAACCAATAAACAAGAACTGAGGATTATTCCTATTCGATATACAGAGAAAGGTGCCTTTTATAATTATATTAAAATGTATAATAAATTGCCTGCTGATATAAGAATAATTACAGATATAAGTAATAATTTTCAAAAAGAAAATTTTCAATTTATTAATAGATCTGGAATCATATACTGTAAATGAGTATTTTAATAATAATAGCTTGTAAGGATGAATTGATCTCTGAAATTTATTATATAGGTATTTCTTTTTTCTATATGGATAGTTATAAAGTTGTTAGAGCTGTAATAGCAAAGCTCTGTTGACGTTATTTTCATTAATGTTACTAGATCTATGTGAGTGTTCTTGAAAATAAAGATATTATTATTATTATTATTATTATACCGAGCGATCCAGAATAATTGAAGCTGAC